CTTCCAGAGTTATCAATTTTGAATATTTCATACTTCAAGATATATGGAGATTTTTTTATTTTTGCATCAAAAATAAAAAAAATCTTCAAATTTGAAACTATTATTATTTCATATAGGATTGTATAGGTGACATTGCTGCCACGCATGTTCATGCAAGTGTGTCACATGCTAAAAAGGTAGCATATATTGGACATTGTGGTTCACCTATATATAATGTAATGATAATATGCGACTTCAATATGTGTTTTACTTTTGTCAGTGCTGGTTAGGAAGGTAATGCTCATGACATTAGAATTTTCAAGTCTGCGCACAATCCCGTATGCAAAACTTTTCCCTACCGCCTCTAGGTTGGATAAATCCTACTAAAATCTTATCCTAAAGTTTTACATAGTAACTCATGGTTGATTGTCATAAAAAGTAAATACTATGTAGTGGATGTCAATAATCCACTACAACAAAGATTTTTAAAACCATTTTCCAACACAAGATACCACATTCCAAACTTTGAGAGAGCTAGTCAAGTAGTGCGAGGGCGAAAAGAAATGTTTAATGAGTGTCATTCGTCACTACGAGGTATGATTGAGAGGGCTTTCAAAGTTCGGAAGTAAAATTAGGTTATTCTAAGGGACATGCTAGGATATTCGTTTGAGAGATAGGTTAGAATTGTAGTTGTAACAATGACACTTCATAATTGCATACGATTTAATCATTTGCATTTTGACATTTACTTTATAAGTGTCGATCATAATGAATCAATGCCACAAAAGCAAATAAATATCACTTGGGCGAATAGATGATGGAAATTGATGATGAGATCATCAATACCAGCATTGATGATGGAGAATGTGTGGATGAGATGGCTATGTTGCGAGATCATATCACTGATGCTTTAGTCGATTCTTGAAAATTCACAAATACCTTGATCATTGTTGAGTGTTTTGTTTGGAGCAATTCTATGAGGTAGTAAAACTATCTTGCAACATTGATCAAGGTATTTGTGATTGTAGCAATGGCATTATTTATACCTGAGTGCTGTCATTTCTTTATCCTACCCGTAAGCTGGATGTTTAGTTGGATGTGTTCTTAAGGATTATTCTATGTTCATTATTATTGTTCGAGCTGTTCAAATTGTTTATTATAGTTGGATGTGTGGTTTTAAGGATTATTTTGAATCATTTAGGGAACTCATTTCAGTGTATATCGAATGTTCTTACTTCTAATAAATATTTATTTTTCTGCTTCTTTAAAATGATTCCTAAATTCCTAGGATTGGTACAATTCTATCTATAATATTTGTTCTTTGAGAACATATCAAAAATACCATAAATTTAGCTTTTAAAAAGTCTGATGCACGCTTTCTAATGAAAGATTCTTGGTTGAATATATTTATATGAAGAGGATGTATTTGCATCAATTTCCAATGGGGAGTTTTCATGGGGGTAATTACTTTGAGCATTTGCTTTGGATGTGTTCCCTACACACTTGGTGCAGGGAATGTTGATATGATTAGATTATTTGTTTTGGAGAGGTTGTAAACATCATGGCTGTCAACTTGAAATTAATTGGTTACATACCACACAATTCTTATGCATGCATCTCTTTATCCTCCTGCTCTCTTATATTTTAATACATGAAAATTGAGTGGTATGTTTGTATCTGCTCCTTTGTACTTGCTCCATTGCTCTATTGGAAGAGATTAACCTTATAGTACCTGGATGGCCTTCTTTATGTAATTGTAAGGGATCTGATTGCAAGATATTACGTGGTTTAACGTAATAGTACTTGAATTGACTTTATTACTGATGTTTTAGTTAATGGATGAATTAATATTCAAATGTTTGAAGTTATTATTATCATCTTTATTTTTAATGTTATGTAATGCTTGATTTCACTTAAGATTGGTTGACATGAATTGAAACTGTGTGGGCATCAATGATTTACATGTATAACACCTAGAACTTGAGTTTGTATTCGCTCAACATCAGTTTATTGAAGGGAACAAAAGGCATTGATTTATGAAGAAAGATGGAGACGGAGAAATGCAACAATCTGCTTGATCGTGAGTATTACAACAGGTACATTGACTGCTCTCCATGATTTACATCATCTTATATTAGAGACAAAATGGGTTGGGGAATTGCTTGTCGAGCATCCAACCAGATTCAACAATATAATCTGCATCAAGCCGGAAATATTTATTGATCTTCTAGCAGAACTTAGTATATTTCATGGTCTTCATAAGTCATCGAGGACGACTCAGCGTGAGGTGTTGGTGATGAGGCTCTATATATTATCATAAAACGAGTCAATGTGTGGTGCGATGAAACGTTTCCAACACTCATTTGAGACGATTAGCAGATACTTCTCTGTGGATTTGAATGTACTTGTAAGTCTATCAACACAAATTATAAAATCAATTGATTCAACATTTGCACAAACTCCTACGAAAATTCAACGCGTTAGAAGTCATTCTTTAAGGTAGCATTTGCAATTTCTAGTATTCAATTTTAAATATGAATATCGAACATTAATAACTCAAATGTATCTGTGTAAGATTGCATTGGAGCAATAGATGAAACCTACGTTGATGTGAGAGTTACAAATGATGAAAAGATTGCATTTATCAGTCGTTGCGGAGCTCCTGCGCAGAATGTAATCATTGTGTGTGACTTTAACATGTGTCTTACTTTCGTCATGCTCGATTGGAGGGGCAGTGCGAACGACAGCAGAATTTTCAAGTATGCTAAGTGGAATCCTCACTACAACTTCCCACATCCTCTGCACAATATGTTGTTGCCTCAAATCCTTTGGTTATTCACTTTAAACATCGTACTGAACCTGAAATACATTCCAGGAAAATATTATTTGGTGGATGTTAGCTATACATTGCAGCGAGTCAGCAATGTTACAGGTGGCAGAAAAGATATGTTTAACAAAAGACATTTCTCCTTACGGGGTGTTATCGATAGGAATTTTAGCATTTGGAAGAAAATATAGGTTATACTACGCGATATGTCATCTTACCCATTTCCCAAACATGTTCAAATTGTGATAGCCACGATAATTGCACAATTATATTAGGCGGCATCTGTCTCGAAACGACATTGATTTCCACAGTGCCGAAAAAGCATCAACAGCAAGTATCTGCACAAGCATTCGAGTACCACCTTGGGCATTCTCTGCCACGATATGACAATGATCATTCTATTATTTAAACAAAAGAAAAAGAAGGTGCAGATGACATGACAGACTTTCGGGAACAAATCACTGATACGTTAGTCGGAGGGTAATTGAATTATTTATAAATTATTCCAAAGATTGTGTAATTTATTATCTATGTAAAATATATTTTCAACATTCATGTTAGATTTTGAGCATTCATTGATATGTGTTTTAATTTACAATCATTTGTATTTTACCTTTTATAAAGCTGGTTTACAAATTTATGCTTTTGAAGTATCAGATATAAGGTTGTCACAGTTTTGTTACAAACTATATTATTAAACATAGGCAGAAAGGTCATTTGTCCAGAAACAACTGCCTCACAGTTGTTTCCACACAGCTGCAACAAACAACCACTTAATTTTCCCGCAATAGCTTCCTGAGGTAGTTAAGTTGCAGCTGAAAAACTAAGAAGCTGGAACCAAAATGACCATGAATGAGCCATAATCAAGCTTTGTATAGATCTTTATATTGCGTATTATATTGAGTCTTAATGGAGTTTCTTAATGAGTATTTCCACAAGCTTTAAATGACAATTTTCATGATAATAAACAAATCAAGTAAAAAGCTGGTCAAGTTTATTCGTTTAAAAACAATGTATTTATAAAAAAATATGCCCAAGTTTGTTTGCTTAGTTGATCAAATAAACATGAAGGAGCTCTTATTGAATTGAGACGCAAGTAGTTTGCTGAGCATTACATTTATTTTCATTCAATTGAGGTGCACCTCTAAGGACTCGGGAGGGGATTCCTTAAGAAAAAAAGGTATGATTAAGAGTATCAAACCATGGATTGTAGCTTATATTGAGAATGATGTCAGAAGGATTGGTTGGATGATTCTAATCATATGGTTCAGAAGAATTTGAGATTGTAGTGTTATAGACTCACCTTTTCATGAGATTAAATGGCTGTAGCTGTGTACATATACAGTCAAGAAAAGATTGGACTACTGAGGGGGCAAAATTATTTATGTTCTTCTCAAGATTAAAAAGGTGCTGAAGTTAGCAGTACTAATCACATAAAATCTTGGCGTTAATAAAATGATATATAGATGTAGATTCACACAAATAAACAAGCAAACAGAAAAAAAATTGGTGCTTTTACCGCATCAAGCCTAGGCCCTCAAATGTAAGCAACAATTTGATTAACTCTAATGTTAGATGATTAACCAATCTAACAAGGAAAAAGGATTCAAAGCTCTGTTCATTCATTGCAAAAACAATTAATCTCGGTGCTGCTTATGATTCAAGGAGTACTCCAACTTTATTTTCCAATATACTTATTTCTAAGCAATGACAAACTGCCTTAACTAACTGCATCTAGGAAACGCTACAAAAGTTATATTTTTTTCGCAATTAACAATTACAGCTCAACAAAAAGGCGATCATGGAGCAGAAAGAGGGAAAAAAAAAACAAAAACAATCATCAATAATCTCAACCAAACAGCTCGTAAGAACCAAAACCCTAAAATTCCCCCCAGAACACTCCCGTGAGCTCCCCAATACATCGCTTAAGAACTAAATCAGTACCACAAATCTAAAATCTACCCAAGATTGACCTACCAAATTCGTCATAAAGAATCTACCAGCCGGGGGCCCGAAGCGGAAACAAACACGTGGCAAACACGGAAATAAACGAGAGAATATTCACACTCGTAGAATCGGCAGCAAGAAAAAACGCTTCCCGAAAATTCGAGCAATCGGATTAAAATTCATTTGCGATCCGAATTACGACGAGATCAAGTGATCCCCTGGTCAAGCAAAGGAATTTATACTTCACCTTCACCCACAACTCCATCCGTAACACTAGAGAGGGGGATCTCTTTTGAGGCTTCGCCAATCTCCCCAACCCCTAGATTCATCTCCGCCCTCATCGATGATCTTCGTCCTTTCGGAGAACGAACGCCCACACAGGTGACAGGCCGCCTGCCCTGCTAATATTATTTTATTGTTTTTTGTCTCGCCATTTTAGGACAATAAATATTTATCATTTCCTTATTGCATAAAAATGCTTTTTTTCAAGCTAAATCCTCCGCTATATTTCATCAATTGAGTAAACGTAATCCTAAAATTTCTAAAATTTTATAATGCAGCATCATTTTCTAAACGCTAACATGAATCATATACCAAGTAATTAATGCATTATTATTATGTTATTTTGCCTCGAGTTAAGTTAGCATGCTATTTCAAGCAAAATAACAAACTTCTTCTATAAATGTTATGAATAGTATAGTTTTGATTTTAAGATCTCCTTTTCTAAAATTGTGTGTTAAATCATGTATTTTATTTTTTTTTAATTGATTTGTATTCCATAAACAAAAAATTATGTCTGATATTTTCTTAATGCCAACATAATATTTTTTGTTCGGCTTCAAAACTCTATAATTGAGGCATGTATTTACGCACATGTGTGGGACCCCGCGCGCGCTCAAACACACACATATATATACTACATAGAATTTGAGAATTTGATACATGAGTCGTGATAAAAATTAATCATTTTTCGAATGATTGTCTTCTTAATTTTATATATTTTTTGTCAAATAAAATTCTGAAGACAATCTTATATTAGCAGACTTATTAATCATTCTACATAATATATTATTCATATACAAACTCGATCAAAGATGAAAAAGTAAAAATATCAATTTTTTTTGCTAAGAAGATGATTTCATTGATCTAATAACTTCTAAATTTCGTATTTTTTTATATTAGAATCTTGTTGAGATGTGATTCCAATATTTTTCATCCTTACCCGATACACTATGGTAAAAAGATAGGTCAGATTCTTTATTTAAAAAAATAGAAAATTCAACTTATTTGATTGAATTTCTTTATTAATTTTTTTCTTATTATGGACAAAAAAATCAAGTTTTCTTATCATGGACAAAAAAATCAAGTTTTCTTATCATGGAAAAAAAAAAAATCAAATGGCAGCGACAAACGGAGAAAATTTTTCATCCATGCATCACATGACCAAACGACCAACTGTCGGGCGCTACGCCCCCATTCACGTCAACGTCAGGCGACGTGGCTCCCGAAAATTGGCCTTCAGAATGTGCGACTTTCAAATGTCATATTTTTTTCCCACAACTAACGCACACCAAATCTATTATTTATAGTGACGCTACGTAAGAACTTTACATGTACTACAATTTTTCCAATAGCCTGATGACACTTGTATAAAATGCAATCAAGTGTTTTATCCACCATCAACATATATATATTATATATATATTATATTTATTATGTGGCATTTACATTGACATTTGCTTCGCTAATTTTCTACTATGAGTGAGATATTTATACCAAATCATGTTGCTTGGTAATAGTTTTAACAAGAATCTATGATGATTATTATCATGTTAATGGTCTTCTTTAGGGGAGAGTGGGATGTTAATGATCACTGAATACTTATTTAGTGCATTAAGTGAATTAAGTAAACAATAAATAAATATGAATTTTAAGACAAAATAATATTATATTACAATTTATTATTAATAATTATAGTGTTAAGTATATGAAATTCTCACGGGAAAATATATAGAGAAAAATTCAAGAAAGTAAATGTAGCACTTCAATGTTATGTTTGGCAGGTTTGTGTAGTTGTTCAAAGTGTAAAATAGATTTAAAAAAAAAGAGCTTGGCATATAATGATCAAACTAAACCGGCTAAACTTAAATTTAATTTGGCCTAAACGGTTAGATTTTGAACAAAATGAAATTTAATTATTTTCTTATTGCTTGGCTGAGAACAAGTTATACTAAATACATATATTATCTACATAATTTCAATTTAATTTTCTAAGTCTTCTATTTATCTCAATCAAATGTTGCATATAATAATTTTATTTTTGTTATTTGACATGAAATTATATATGTATGTATGTGTGTGTGTATAAAGATAAAGTAATAAAATATATATATTTTGGGTTATTTGGTTAAATGAAAAATAAAATTGAACTGAAGAAAAAAATGAATATTAAAATTTAAAAACAGCAACATGTTTTTTTATTGAGGAAATTGCCCTGTCTCATTGTATCAGTCTTTGAGGCATACATAAAAGATATTTTATAGATGTATTTATTTGAATGAACTTGAAATATTTGATTAAATGCTGACTTGTTTAGCCGTAATAAAATTTCTCAACTTACATTAGATCAAATGATACAACCATTTTGATTAATTTTTGTAATCTTCTTTCAGGCAAACCTTCTTATCTATTCAAATGTTTGTTTTTGTTTAAATAAAAAGACTGATGGAGCGGCAGCGCAACTTGTGAATAATTTACGAGTATTTCAGCTTGATCGAGATTAGGGCACGGCCGGAGACGGGCCCAACCTCACGTGCCGGTGTCTCCTATCGGTCCTATCTCACCAGTCCATCGCCTTCGAAGCCGCCAAATCCAGCGCTTAGAAAGCGAAGATCGGGCTTGCGACCCCTCCCCATCTCTCTATCTTTCGCGCTTTTTCTCTATCTCCTTCTCCGGAGAGAGCACAGAAGGGGAAATAAGGGAGGAAAAGCGGAAAACTAGAGGGCGGACGATGCGAGGAAAACACTGGGGTATTGTGGTGAGCTAGTTGCCTGCTAGTGGTCTGAATTTTGTACCCGGCGCCGACTGATCGATTTGGAGGCCCCTCACTGATTTTTCACTGGTTATGGTCAGCTCAGTCTTTTTCTTGTTTTTTTTTCCTTGCCGAGATACTGAATTTTATATGTTTAGGCCATATGTTTCCACCTGGTACAGTGATTGTGGGGTAGGGATAGCATTTTCAGTGCGCCGCCCAAGTTAGTTTTGATTGGGAATGACATTAATCATTATTTTTACTTTATTGGAAAGTGTCCTCTATGTTTAAAATTAATGTTTAAAGTATGTTTGAAATCTTATTCCCTTAATCCAGTCAGTTTTACTTAGGAATGTCCTTAATATTTTCTCGATGTCTCATAAATCTTGTCCAAAGGAACAGGTCGGACGGGTCCTTTTTTTTTCCCCTGAGAGCAGAATCTCGCAGATGTGTACATGAAAGAAATAGACTAAAAAAATCTGGCCGTGTAATTTCTGAGAATTTTGGAATCAATAAGCGTGCAATATTTTATTTTGATTTGAGAATTCGGAGGTGTTTGTTAGAATCTTAGAAGCTAGAAGCAGATCTTGAGTCATCCATGCTATTATGATTTTGATCTATTTTTCTCTTACTTCTGTGATTTTGAGGGAATATAATTGCACAACACAAGACACAACACATATGCAAGGCCTAAAACCTAATCTTTTTGTTGACAGAGCCTAAGCTCCCAATCGACAGATTAAAGTGGAATCCATAATCAATTTCTTATGCTATTTGAATTTCTCATCTTTACTTCGCACTTAAACGTTATTGCTTAGCGGTGGTTCTATTAAGTGGTTAATTTGATTAATTTAGTTAGTCATTTTTCAAGAGCAGCAGAAAATTATTCCAATGATTCACTTTTATTTTAGCATGTTTTTTAAATTTGACCTGTTTTTGTAAACTTATTACTGGCATAGTAATAAAATTTTGAGCAAAATCATATTAACTAGAAAAATGAACATATCAAAAGTTATAATCGTATGACACATAAGCTTATGTGATTCAATAATATTTATTTATGTTCAAGGCTGCACTAAGATTAAATATTTCACCAAGCATTAAAAGAGAAGTGCATTAAATTTTTTTTCTTTCACACATTACAAACATAATGATAGAGGTACCACTTTTTCACATTAATGACGGAGAAAGAGTACAATTTCTTGTTATGAAAATGAGGGCCGAACATGGAGAAGCAGATGTTACTATTGCTGCTAGTAACACATTTCCTTCTTGGCCAACGGAACTTATCCTAACCATGGTTGAAAATTTGAGCCCATTTTCACCTCTCTCTCACACTCTTCTTTAATTTACTTGTGGTTGTAGGCTGTTTCAAATTTCAATTACTTTGGTGCTTTCTCCTCATATAGTGTTTTAAATTGGCAGGTAGCAATCATGAACTTATTAGGTAGATGATGGTGGACATTATAGTGTAGTTCTTAGGTTGAGAATGGTAGATTATAAATTTGCAGAAGTTAAATTGAAGATGATAGGCATATACTTGTACTACTTAGGTAGAAATAATTATATTGTCACATCTCAACATTTTGAAGCGCTATATTATTTTATCTGTGCAGATTAATATCATATGTTAGATTGAATTAGTAAAGGTATCTGTACAACCAGAGGGAATGCTTCATTCATGCTACGATTAACATAGCTTATTATGGAAATTGGACTTAATCCTTTTGATTCAAATAAAATGATTAGCGTGATTTTAGTTAACTTGCATAGATTGGACTTAATCCTTTTGATTTAAATAAGATGATAAACGTGATTTTAGTTAACTTGCATGGATTATCCTTCTATATATTACATATATTTATTATATGGTATTATATGATGGCAATGTTTTGATTGATTTGACTTTATTTATGTGTTTTTAATATTTTACCATCATGTTATTGTATTGCAGAACTTTTCACTTTTCCTTTTATCTTGAACCAGTATTATTATCACAGCCAACTTGAGTGCTAATGCGAAAAATTGTACATGTTCTCATAATCTAGTTTGTTTGTCATAAGCAATTCCTATTTCTTGATTTTTTTTCTTAAGATGACATCAAAAGCCAATGGAAGCATACAAAGGTCTGAAAAGCTAAAGCATGTTGAAGAAGCATCACCAAACTGGGTCATTATTGTAGGTGGTGCCTTGCTAAGCACTCTCTCTATAAGGCTCTGTTGCAAGCTGAAGCAGGCTTTTGAAGTTAAGAAGTCAACAAAAACTCATGTTTCATCAAAAGGTAGGATGACTAGCCTTTTGTTTGAATTAATTTCTTGTTATTTGGTGTTAATCTACCTCTAAATCATGGAGGGTTTTGTTTGATAGAGAACAGAAAGTCAACCTCTAATAAATGAAATGAATCTTGTAAATTTTATTCTCAATCATATCTCCACTTATTATGAGGTTTGATGTTACCAGAACGTTTCATTTATGCTGCCTTGAAATCATTTTCTAACCATTAATTGTAATTGTTGATCTCAAAATTCAAATCTCAAATAGGTTTTTTGTTTCATTCCTAAGCATTTAATTTCAAATAACTAGGCTATGACTACTTATTTCTATAGCCATGCATGAACGACATGCTAAGTCTAATCTTAAATTATGATCTAGCTTTATAACTCAATGTATGGAATTTTATTGATTTTATACTCCAATTGAAACAGATCATTTATTGCTTTCATAATAAAATATATTCTCATATAAGCACATTTCGACTCCTTAATTCCTTTCAAAATGCTTGTGTTGAATATCTCTTTACATTTTTAAATTTTGATAACTTCTATTCTCTTGTAGTTGATGGTTTGATTTTTTTTGTTGGATGTTGTTAGTTTTTATTTCATGCACTCAATATACCTTTCATTTTTCTTTTTATATAACCATTTTTAACTATGAATAACTTTTTTGTTGCCAACTGGGCATGAATCGACTGCTAATAGAGCATTAAGAAGAAACAAAAAGACTGTTTACAATGGGATGCAATTCAACCAACATAAATATAATGAAAGGCCTAAGTATTGTGATACAATTTGATGTAGAAATTGACAAGGTTTTCCGCAGAAATTAGTGCAAAATAAATATTTTTCTTTAATAATCCAAAAGAGTGCAAATACAAGGATAAACATCTGCAATTTGAGAGACAAACGATATCTCTCAATTTCTACAATTTGAGAGGTAGGAAGTCTCTCCCAAACCCTAACACTTAAGACTCACAACAAACAATCTCACGCATAACTAACCTTAAACCTATTAGGGTCTATTTATACTAAAACAATAATAACTAATAAAAGACTAAATTACCCTTAGGCAAAAAAAGTCAAAACTGCTCTTAGACTAAGGCACTGACGCAACAATACTCCCTCCCCTCAAATTACACCTTGTCCTCAAGGTGAAAAAAAGTGTGGGTGTTCCTCCACCACCATTGAATCTAATTCTTCATCTGCCTCCTTGTCGCACGCTATGAAAACCTATAACATTCAATCCTTCTAATGATGTCCTGGGATAAACTTCTCACCACACCAAAATTATAATTCCTTGGCTTGCTTCTCCTGAATCTCTGTCTCTAACCCATGATTTTTACCCTTGTGAAACCCTTCTCTGAACTTCAACTATCTGAGCTTTTGGTATCTTCATGGTTGTAGTAGTTCAGTATGGTGCTCTGTTTGTGTTGCTCTTATTAGCCTTTTTCATGGCATTATGATCTTCAACCAACTGTGCTAATTTTATAATTTCTCCTAAGGCTCGTAGTCTCAATGACTGAAGTGTTGCACGTATATTGGGCTTGTAGTTCCTTTCCAATACTTATTCAAAAATTCCCCTCAGTCGTCTCAACAAGAGCCCGAATCTCTCCCTATATTTCATGACAACCCCTTACCGATTCAATACAAAGAATTGCTCGTGTATGTCTCCTTCCTGAATGACTCAGAAATGTTCAAACAAGCAACCCTTAAATTCTTCCCAAAACAGATCGGTATCTGACCCCCTACATCAAAATCATGCTAGGGCTTTCCCCTCCAAGCATAACTCTGCCTTCATGAGCTTCTCCTTATCATTTAGTCTATTCATAACAAAATATCGCTCTGCGTGGTACACCCACCTGTGTGCGTCTTCCTCCTTAAAGATCAACATCTTCAACTTTTTAACCCCAACATCTTTGCCCTACTTCCTCTCTCTTTGCTATTTTCCTTCATGCATCGAGGGTAAAACTTCCTTTTTCGATCATAATCATATCCCATCTTGGTTTTTTTTTCTTTTTTCTTTGTGCTCTTGCATACCCCTTGTATAACCCCTTCATATTTCGGTTCAATCCCTCCATTAGAAATCTCTAATCCACCCCCCACCTCAATCGGAGCCCTGGGAGGATGTTCTTGATGGTGGATGCTTTTCTCCTCGTGCTTATCTCGTTCGATCTCTTTTTATTTTGATTTAGCCAATGAATCTACTCAACCCTTGATTAGGGTTTGCAAGCTTAACTACCAGTAGGGTCTTGGATTGCATCTCAATAATCTTTTATGTTCTCCAAGCTATCGAATGTGCACTTAAATCAATTTTCTATGGAGGAATACCTTCCTTCTATGGTGGAGAACCTTTCCTCATTTCCAGATCTAATTTTACTTTTGTCGTCCTCCAACTTCTCCAAATCATCTATTTTCTTTACTGTCATCTCTCGATCATGGATTCAAAACTCCTTTATGCTGAAATCCCATTGTCAGCATCCCAAGCACCCAAATCCCAACTGTCCTATAAGGTATATAAGCTGCAATCCCTTTCTTGCTTTCAGATCACACGGTTCGGTTCGAAGGAATGCCACAATCCTATTGTTGCCTATGCAGTTAACTTTGAATGTGATCCCACGCGACAATATCCATGAATCTTAGAGCGGGAACATGGGAGTTTTGGGTCTCTGTATGCCGCGAGTACCAACGTACGCTTCCTAGATGTCGGAATCACGTAGTTGTTCACATGTGCAGGAGACGGAAGACGAGATAACGACTTTGCTTTCCCAACAAGCTCAAATTGCGATTGTATCGCTAGGGTTTGGTCGCCGCGATTGTCTTCCCAATCAAGCACTGTGTTGCACGCCTTGATCCTCCTAACCAATCACGTGTTATCGTAGATTTTTGCCGCAATGCCTTCCCTAAGAATTCATAAGCCGCGACCTGTACGACTAGGGCGTAGTAGGAGGAGAGGTGGGAGTTTCAGAGCCTCTGTAGGTTGTAATCTCGTCGGAGCCTTTCTTGCTAGCTTTGATCGCGACTGTATGTGAAGACGGTGTGGGAGGAGGCGAAAGATGGAGTTTCGGGTCTATGTAAGCTGCAATCCTTTGTCGTTATCTTGCACTCGATTGAAACTTTGGCTCTCGATCCGCTCGACATTTTTCTTTGATTCTCTGAACCACTGCTCTGATACTAATTTGATATGATTTGGAATAGAAATTGACAAGATTTTCCGCAAAAACTATGGCAAAGCAAATATTTTTTTTAATAATAAAAAACAACAATGTACAAAGAGAAATACCTACAATTCGAGAGGTATGCGATCTCTCGTAATTCCTATAATTTGAGATGTAGGAAGTCTTCTAAAAACCTAAGACTCACAACAAACAATCTCATGCACAACTAACCCCATACCTTGTAGGGTCTATTTATGCTAAACGATAATACATAATAAAAAGCTACATTGCCCTTAGGCACATAAAAGACAAAAAGTGCCCTTATGCTAGGCACGAACACAACATAATGGAAGAGAAATAACATTGATTAGATTGGCCAAACATTTTTGGCAAACTTTCATTAATCTAATCCAACTTTCTGTTTACCAGAAAATCTAATCATTGTGCAAAATTTTTTAAGGCAAAATTTTCCAATTTTTTACTGGCATTTCCTTGCCCATGGTTTGCCAGGCATGTTAGGTTTGATCACCTGGTTTGGGGATTCTTATCAAAAGAATCCCCATTGAAACTTTAGCATGTCGATGAAGATGGTAGTTTCCCTTTTCCTTTATCAGAAGAATGTTATGCAATTAATATTGCACTATTCTCTATCTTATTCATTTGTATATATGCCAATTGGTTTGCTACTAAAACCTGAGAAATGTTGAGCAATATATATTGTAATACTAATTAATGTGATTCTTCTTTATCTTCTTCATTTGTATATAGGTCAATCGGGCTGATTTAACTTTAAACTATTATGGTTAGCTTAGTGATTTGTCATCATTATTACTCGAAGAAGTTCCTGAATATGCCTCTAATTGAGAATTACGCAATGATAAGCATTTGTAAGAAGAATTGATTGCAAATGGTCTGTATTGTTTATAAAATAGAAGTTTTTTCTATATTGAAGAATATAGAGTATGAGTAGAGCTAGCTCTTTGCAATAAATAATCTCATTTATCGTCTTGTTAGTCTGCATGTTCAATCTAATATTGTTTGTGGAAGATTTCTCGGCTTTACTATAGATATAGATGTAGCCCAAAGAGTACCAATGAAGAGAGATTTAAGTTTAGTTATTTTCTTAGATGAATTGCATCATAGATGGCTGAGTTGATATCTTGGGCTGCGAAGGATAAGTTAAACCAAACTAACGGAAAATTCTTGGAGAGAGGATTTGATAAAAGGACCTTGAGAGAATTCAGTTGGCAGAAATTTGGCCAACAATACAATATTGTGTATTAGATTTCATGAATATGCATAAAACATGGTTGGCCATTATTATAGGCTTATAGGTGAGGATTAAGATTGGTGGCATATGATAAGCTATGTGGTAAAAAGGACGAGAAAATAAATGAGCAGAGCTTGTCTTTTATTAGGTGAGTTTGGCTGATAATTGTTGATTAGTTAGTAGCTTTGGACAAATTTTGAATTGAGGGTAAGTATCCTTAACATGTTCTCCCATAGAGAACACTTAGTAGGCTGGTAGGTACTCTTGATGAGTAGTCGAGTCCTTCGAGCAAGTTGATTTGTCGAGTATGTGGCTTTATGAGTCTCTTGAATGAATTCAGTAGCTTGGTTCTGAGGGCAAAGCAAGGACTATCTCTTATACGAGTTAATGAGATTCAACCTTGTGTATTTTAAGGCTTTGGGCGAGCCTTTGGCTGGGTGATTATGATTTATGAATTACAACTTAACTAATTTTGGGTTCTTATATTGACTTGATTCACTTGAGTTTTTACATTGATTTGGCTTACTTGACTTGGATAAATATGACACATTAATTTATTGATTGTTTTGTCCTATTCGAGAAGCTGAGAATGAGTCTCTTTGAATAGCCTAGTTTCACTAGGTGAGTTCAGCATTATCTAGAAGTGTTTGCTCTACAACATGCTTAGATCTTTGACAGATGTTGGGCACATCAACAACGGCCGATATAAATATGTGGCTTGAGGTTCATTCTTAAGATCTTTTATTTATTTGTGCTCTCTTCTCTGTTTGCTTTCCAATTACATCTGTTGTGCTTTTTTAGAAGATGAGGAAGATTAAACATCCCATTAGTTCTATTGTGGTCTAGGAGCTGACGTAATGATATAGATAGGTAAAGAAGCATAGAGCTATGATGTCTGTAGAGGGATTTGCAATGGTGATATATCTAATTAAGAAGTTGAAGACTAAACCAGTGAAAGAAGTAGAAGGTGGTCAAGAGTTGGGCCTTCTACCAACTAAGGTGGCTATTGACGAAGTCTCAGAGCTCGAGAAGATTAATGCTAGGAATGTGGCTGTGGGAATGGACGCCTCGACTTGTTTATTGAAGATTTTTTGTGCTATACCCTGACAAAAGTAGTGAAGCTGATTGAGATCCTTCTAAATATATTTGACCAAGCAATGAGTTGAACATTTTGATCTACTTTTTTATGTGAGATTAATATAATAGTCACATATGTGTAGTGATGCTCATAAGAGCTAAGATCTTAGTTTTCATGTTAATCTCCAATCTCCCAAAAGCCAATATAGAGGAATCTTTAAGCTTTGGGAGCAGCTTTAGTGGAAGGAAGTCATTCCTTGAAGTTACCTAACTAAAGGGCGATAAAGTCGGGAATGTTGGCGAGCCAATTCTTAATGAATCCATTTGTAGGAAATGAATTGTCAGTGATGAATGCATGACAAGAGACAATTTGCTCGTTGTTGGATATGATCACATTGGGAAGATCCTTAGCAATGGTTGCAAGTGGGGGGTGGCCCTTGTAATGATGACTTCTTGCAACCATAGATGTTAATAACACAAAATAGTGGCATTATAGCCCATAATAACATGACAACTCTTGTACTATTTGCATTAAAAGGTTAAACAAGGCAAAATAGCGCGCATTATATGTGCTATATGCGCTATATGCGCGTATAACTCATATTCCATAACGCTCATGATGCCAACCATTTTATTTTCCTATTTGTATTTTATTTTTTTAGGTTGATTAATTTATTTAGATTACTTGTATGATTTTAAAGTTTAGATCTAGCATAATGCGAGTATTTTCATAACTAAGTTCAGTTCTTATGCAAGTGCAATTGCCGTAATCTAATTTAGAGTTCAAGCAATACTTTTTTTTATCACACAATAGGTTTTATAAAGAGTAGATGTTATAAAATTTTCCTTTATCCTATTGTGTGATAAAAAAAGTATTGCTTGAACTTAAAGGAAAATTTTATAAGATGGCGGTGAGACCTACAATGGTCTATGGCGCAGAATGTTGGCCTTTAAAAGACAAACATAAAACAAACAAAATGCGAAATGAATATATTCGTGATAGGGTTGGTGTAGCTCCACTGGTGGATATGGTTAGAGAGTCGTTTTAGATGGCTTCATCTCATTAGATGCTGGTCATCTAATGGTCCGGTTAGGAGAGTAGATGTTTTAGATTCGACTTATGTTAAGAAAGGCAGAGGCAGACCTAAAAAGACTTGGGCATTTTGTATAAAAAATGATCTTAATTTATTAGAATTCAATGAAAATATGACACTCAATAGGACGCAATGGAGAAAAAGGTTCATGTAGCGGACCCCACTTAGTGGGATAAAGGCTTTTTGTTGTTGTTTTTGCCGTTGCATACTTGGTGCGTGCTGATTTCCTGCATATTTAGATTCACATGGGCTTAGGATTTTAGGGTGCATGCTCATTTTCACTTTGAGTGGCTGGTGGCATTTGACCAAATAGTTTTCTTTTGCCATTTCCTGCGGTTGACTGTTAGGTCGGAGCTTTCCGCCACGCTAAGCCCGCCAATTACTTTGAAGACTTTTTTTAGGCTCAAAATGTGTGATTTAGCCATTTATTATAATTAACCAAAGGATCACTTTTATTAAACCTTGCTTCTCAGAATTTTTTTGGGGCGACTGCATTCGTCTTCTAAGTAGAACTGCTGTGGTAAAAATATTTTTTTGAAAATTATTGTGGTTATTATAATGTTCTTGAAAAAATGAGAACCTTTCTTCTAGCTTTTGCATTTTAACAAATTGATTGTAAAATGTTGCTTCTTTTTCCTAAAAACATTAAAAACTCGCCACATTGAAGCGTGGTGACACTTTAAAAAGCATATCAAATAGACCCTTACTCTCCTCTGACTATTCAAGAAGGGAAGGTCCATAGGGAGAGATGGAAGGATATTCGTCATTCTTCCCCCAAGGAAAGCAATATTTTAACCTTTAGCGACTACGTTTTGTGTAACTTTAACGAGAACAGTTGCCAGTCCTTCGTAGTTGAATGAAGGATGCCAAAATATAATTTATTATGAAGCTGGGTGCTGGCTACAGAGTTGGTTTACCTTGGGCTGTTCCGATTCAACAAGCAAGCCAGCTGATATATTGTCACTCATATGATTAAATATTTCAGTGTGTTGGAATGATTGAATGAGCTGATATTGGAATGATTTGGAAATTTTTATCATGAGTTCATGATTGTACACCACCAACATTTTGTTTGAATTCTCATTCCGCCTTATCGAATTTTTCACACTGCTAATATTAAGGAACAGATACAAAATAAAGACATCAAGATGTATCTTCCTGTACAAGTTTTCTTACATCTTATGAAATTTTATTTAGTTTATTTGGCCAAACAGGGATCTCAAATAGCGCATCAGGAGGAAAGTACGCACCCATTAGCCCCATGTCTAAAGATGGTGATGATTATCTTTCTATGGTCAAGGTGCCATCAGCTCAGTCAAGCATGGACAATGTCAGACCAATACAGGGATCATTACTTGATCGCTTTGAGCTTCCGTTAAGTTCAAATAATTTGGATTCTCCCTGCATATCGGAATCGGGATCGGATATCTACAGCAAGAGAGAAGTTATGCAAAAACTACAGCAGCAAATTAAAAGGCGAGATGATATGATAATAGAGATGCAAGCACAAATCACATTCCTCCAGAACTCTCTGAACGTTCAAATGGCACACACTACCCATTTGCAGGCTCAGCTTGATTCTTCATATAGAGAGCTTTTTTATTCAGAGAGAGAAATTAAACGGATCCAGAAAGCCATTGCCGATCACTGTGCATGCAACATTATTTCTCTGGAAAGGCCTTCGGATGCTGCTAATGGACATGCCGAAGAACACCATGATGACTATGCTGATGCGGGGTTGCTTTGTATTGGTTTTGAGAAGAGCAGAGGGGAGGATGTGATTGAGATGCTTAGGAAGTCTGTGGAGGAAATGAAGGAAGTGATTAAAGGAAAGGATTTCTTGATTCAGAGCTACAAGGAGCAGAAGATGGAACTGTGCTCAAAGATGACAGAATTGCAGCTGAGGCTTCCTTCTCAGCAGGTATCAGTACCTAACATTTTGTAGAAAATATTGGCAGAAGCAATTTTTTATTCATGTTAAGATGAAGTTTTTTTCTTTTCATCGATCTGCTGCTCTTTCATGTCTTTATGTATATAATACCACGCTTATGGAGTTATTTGTTTTAGATATTGTTTCATTTACTTGTTTCCGCCTGAAGGCTTGACAATAGATCAGTAAGATTGAAGAAGAGACTCGAGCTGCTTTGCTTTGATCTAATGATTTTTGTACGATGTGTTGTTACTTGTGCATAAATTTATATGATAAGTGGAAAGTGGAACTTTTAATTACTACGAATCAATCTGCTTCAATGAAGACAGAAAAGTATGTTAGAAATATGCTGCCTATTTTACACTTTTTGATCGGACTTTTTTGTTATTGTTGATATCAGCCTCTTTTTATGAATTTCAGAAATGATTAAATTCTATGCCAAATGATAATTTATCTACCATGAGATACAACAACAACAACAACAAAACCTTTATCCCACTAAGTGGGGTAGGCTACATGAATCCTTTTTCTCCATCGTGCTCTATTTAGTGCCATATTTTCATTTAAATGTAATAAATTAAGATCATTATTTATACAATATGCACAAATCTTCCTAGATCTAACTCTGCCTTTCTTATACAAGTCGATTCTAAAACATCTACTCTTCTAATCAGATCATTAGATGGTTGACGTTTAATGTGACCAAACCATCTAAGACAACTCTCTCTAATTTTGTCCGTCACTGGAGCTACACCAACCCTATCACAGATATATTCATTTTAAATTTTGTCTCTAAGTGTAAATCCACTCATCCATCTAATGATTCTGTTCTCAGCAACACTTAACTTAATTTTTTGCTTCTCTTTTAAAGGCCAACATTCAGCGCCATAGAGCATTGCATGTCTCACCGCCACTTATAAGATTTTTTTTTTTTCAGTCTAAGCGATACTTTTCTATCACACAATAGGCCCGAAGCATTCCTCCACTTCAACCAACCAACTTGAATTGTACTAATAACTTACCATCAATATCACCATCACTTTAAACAATAGACCCAAGATATCTAAAGTGTTCACACCTTTTAATAATTTGATCACCCATAGTTACATTCTTGTCACTAGAGCTGCTACTACTAAAATTACATTCCATGTATTCAGTTTTAGTTCTACTCAAACGAAGGCCTTTGGACTCCAAGGTAGACCTCCATAATTCTTTTTCCTGAGCTTTTTATCTCGTCTTATCCGCAAGAAGGATATCATCAACAAAAAACATGCACCAAAGTACATCCTCCTGTAAGTGTCCAGTAAGACAAAAAGATATGGGCTTAAAGCCGATCCCTGATGTAACCAACAAAAATAGGAAAATATTTGGTGAATCCTCCTTTTGTTTGAACACAAATAATGACTCTTGTATACATATTTTTAATGACTTAAATATAAGTCATATCAACACCTTTCTTCTCAAGAACTTTCCAAAGGATATCTCTTGAAACATTATCGTAAGCTTTTTCTAAATCAATAAAAATCATATGTTAATCCTCCTTATTATCTATGAACTTCTCCATCAAGACTTTCAATAACTGTATAGACCAACCATCATAAATCCAAATTGATTATGAGAAATCTTTGTAATACTTCTTAACCTATGTTCAATTATCCTCTATGACCCATCAACTTAATTCCTCTATAATTTGCACACTCTTCTGCATCCCCTATATTCTTAAAAATGGGGACCAAAATACTCTTCCTACACTTCTCAGGCTTCTTTTAATTTTTTAAAATAATATTAAAGAATTTAGCAAGCCAAGAAACTCTCAAATCTCCAAAATATTTCCACACTTCAATTGGGATATCATCAGGTCCAACAAACTTTCTTTCCTTGGTTTTCTTTAAAGTCTCATCAATTTTTTTTTTCTAATGCGACGGCAAAAATGAAACACTTTATTGTTATTAACGATATTAAGATCATTAAAGTCTGTATTTTTCGAAACTTCATTAAAAAGTTTATCAAAATAATTCACGCACCTATTTTGAATCTTTTTCCAAGAAAAACACTTTTTGACTTCATCTTTAATACACTTTACTTGAGTTAAATCTTTAATTTTATTTTCTCTTTGTTTGAATGGTTTATACATATATTTTTCACCATCCTTAGTATTTAATCTATTATAAAAATAACTAAAAACATAATTTTTAGCATCACAGATTATTCTCTTAGACTCCCTGCGGGTCATTTGATATTTTTCTTAGTTTTCTAAGTTGTTACATTTAAACCAATTTTTATAATATAGCTTCTTATATTTTATATTTTTTTTGCACATTATTATTCCACCACTAACTATTTTTATTTATAGAAATTTTTTCTTTTGATACTCCAAATACAACTTTTGTCACTTATTTAATAGTGTTTGCTACTTTATCCCACAGAAATTGCTTCTTCATGAACACCCTAAATTTTGAAATCTTAAATTTTACTAATAAAAAATAATTTATTTGTCTTCTAGGTTCCTCCATCTAATTCGTCTTAAAATCTAAAACTAATAATCGACGTTGAGTACTTAAATTCTCACTTAGAATGACCTTACAATCTTTATATTCTCAAAGATCTCTTATTCTCATAAGAAAATAATCAATTTGTGCTTTATTAGATCCATTCTTATAAGTAATAATATACTCATCTCGTAATAATTATAAGTAATAATATACTCATCTCTTTTCTTAAATAAAGTATTAGCAATAATAAAATCATATGTTATAGTAAAATCTAATATAGCTCTACCTTCTTCATTAATCACTCCAAAATCGTAGCCATCATGTGAATATTTCTAAAATCTTCTACCATGAGATGAAAGAAGATATATGTGTTTGCCAGAAATCTTGAGGGAAATGATCAAACATTAGATTGTTTGAGGTTAATAACTAAAATGGCAATCGAGGCATGATATTTATGAGATAATTTCCTAACCATCGTATAAACATGTGGAAACAAAAGCAGTTAGTATGCAAAAGTTAATTTTATGACTCAAAAGTCTAAAATAGGGATTCGCATTTGATTGATTAATACATCTTTTAAATTAGTTGGATCGTATTAAACATCACATAGAACCAAATTAGCCATATCATGTATTTAATCGAATCAAATTAAATTGGATTATAATCTAGTTTATTAGATTCGGTTTTATCTAACCAAGTTTTGAAATTATACCAAATTTTTACAAAAACGCAATATTATTCGGCAAGCAGCTCTCAAAAGTCCCGTGTGGATTAGCACCGATTTGTAAATGCTGGCAAGTTGATAGAGATGTCTCACGTGGGCTATTTGTGAGTAGGGGCCCAATGAATTAATTTGAAACCAGAGCTACAGGCCTAAAATCCCAAAAGAATAAACCACAAAGAACTGATGGCTGGACGAGGGCTAACAAAGAGAACCCAATCCTTTTTCAACAGAGAATGGAGATCACAACAAACATGTTTATGAAGAAAATTTCAACTAAAACAACACAGCTGATTTAAAATGAAGGTACAGATTGTCATCCACTTGTTTTAGCATACTTTTCAGCTCATATTACATCTAAGATTTATTCAACGCCATGGAGATTAAAAGGAAAAAGGTTGGATTATTCTGGCTTCTGACATGTAATTATTGTAAATTTAATGAGCCCCTTTTTATATCCTTCGATCATCAGAGGCATCACAAGAGCTCCCTTTATAGTCCTCCATCCTTTCAATCCAAAAATTACAAGAAAGTAGCTCAATTTACATACCCAAACCAACGTTTTAAGAAATCAAATTACAGCATGAATCTTACCACTTCTCAACAGAGATGTAAGGCCTCGCCATGTTAATGCCGATTGAATAACAGCAGGCCAAAATGGAGCAACTTTCTCAGTCCAATCAGCCGTCTTAACATCCTGTGACATGATTTCATTTCCAGAAAAAAATAAAAAATAAGAAAGCAGCAACTCAAGGTACTGATAAACATATATCCTGCTCAACACTACAGTTAAGTGTAACTTGCATGATTTTACATGTCAGAAAAGCAATTGTGCCCGTAATTCAAGAATTTTTAGCAAATTTACCTTGAGCTGTAAGGCGCTGGCAATATGAAGGTAATCAGCTGCAGAACACCACTTGGGTAGGTAAAAAGACTTGCATATCTTATTCAAGAGATTGATCTCATCTGGCTTCAGTTCTTTCTCAGTTGGTAAGAGATCTCTATGGCACCATGTAACTATTATGATGGTGCCACGTGGCGCCGCGACTCGTGCCAGCTCACTCACAAACTGACATCATAAGAATAGCTTATATACTTAATCAGGTGATTCTTCACAAAGCTAAACTATCACAAATAACATGCAGGCCAAATATTCTTATATGCTTATCACCTTTTCTTTGTCAGGCATATGTTCGCCGCTCTCCATGGACCAAACTAGATCAAAATGACCATCAGGAAAGGGTTGCTCCAATGCATCAGCTACCTGGAATGACACCTGTTTCAAAAGCAGTCATAAGCAAAGTGAAGAACAAAAGGTTAGCTATTCTTAGAAAAAAAATTAAATAAGATGGAGAGAAGGAGCATTAATGGAGTTTGGTGAAGTTGAAAAACCTTGTCAGCGAGGTCCTCAGCCATGGCTAGGTCCTGAGCCCTCTTAGCTTGAACAGGGCTCAAGGTGATGCCTTGGACTTGGGCTGCATATTTCTTTGCCAGATATCTTGAACTGCCACCAATCCCACACCCAACATCAACTATTCTGTTGGGCTTCTTTAACGGGACATCTGTGTGAGCACACATATATAGAAAACATGGTAATTATTCCCTAAATATGTCATTTCACGGAGATTATTAGATCAAAGCTCCACTTTGAAAGCATGTTGCATTGCTGTCTTTGGATGACCTAAAACTTAGAGATATATATGCATATATGTCTATATATATGAATTACTGAAACCCTGGCCTTCCCATCAGTGCTATTTCATTGCTCTCATAAGGACAATCAAATTTATGCCAAAATTTGCACCCAATCGTCCCAATCTTCTAGCAATGATAAAATATAGCCTATGTTAACAATTCATTCATAATAATGTGGTCCTTGGATCTTAATATTTCAACTCTGTTACACTCGTGCTGTCAAGAGCTTCATGGAGGTGTTCTCCATTCGTCGATCAGATAATTTGCTATTAGCAACCATTAATTAACCATTTTAGTTTGTTTTCGTGACATATGTTTTCCGATCTAGAATTTGATTTGAATATCATTGACCTATTAACTCTATTGGTGATTGTCACTGGATTAGAGACTTCACTATTGTTCATTCATTGATTGGAGACTTCACTATTGGTGACTGTCACTGGACAATTATAATAGTTTGCTAGCTGCCCGCATTTTGAAAGGAAGAGGGAGTGATTTATGTTGTTCGATCTAGGAACTAATTTGATAGGTCTTTATAAAATGTATGAAAATGCCCTCTCGATATCTATAAATTGGCTTTATTTCTGGGCATCTTAACAAGAATTTAGGAGAAAGAAAAGTATTGTTCATAGGAGAATTTTAGAGCTTTAGTTCCTGTTGGGAACCACTAATTAGTGTTTTCTTGGCCTGTATTTCTCCTTCTCTTCCTCAAATATTAATTAAAGTTTAGCAATATTAGAAGGACCATGCCGCCTTCTTGTGCTTGATGAATTATGATTGTTGTCACCTGAAGTGTGAAGTCCACAATGGCTGACATTGACGCCCATTGTGTGACTGACATTGACGCCCATTGTGCTAATATGTTGACCCACGATCTCAAGCGCCACTCATCCTCTGCTTACATTTGATCAACATGGATGCTTGCTAAAGTTCCATAGGTGATTGACATCTAATCTTTTTTTAGGTGATGTTTGATTTGCTAAAAAAGCAATATAATATAAAAAGAATGACAGTTGTTTGGGTTGCTGCAAAAAGAGTGCATTGCATTTGTTTTGCAGGAATTTTGAAAATGTGAATGTTTGTTTGGATGAATTCCAAATACAATGTACATTTGAAGTTTTTTCTTTAGTTCATTTTCAATGTTTTTAGAATTTATTGGATTTGGGTGGATTTTAAGTATAATATTTTGCATGAAATGTTGCTCATCACGGTTGCCTGTCCTCACAGCCGCTCCATAATCGGCAACCGCAAGCCACTGCCAATGTTGCCTCCCACCCACCACCGGCCTCCTCCACCGCAATTTACCTCATCTCCGACAACCTCCGACTGCCTATTTTACATTGATTTTATTTTTTTAAGACGAAACAAGAAATTGTGAAGTACTGCATTTATTTGACTCTACTGATCAGATAATAATACATTATTTTTATTTAACACTACAAATCAAACAATCCTGATTCAATTGAAATACAGTGTATTTAAAATGTTTTAAAATTGTTTGATTTAATTTAAATTAAATGCAGAAATTTATATTTTTTTACTTATTGTGCATGTAATTTATCCGTTCAAACTTTTTCGTTGTTTGTTGCCTTGAAATTTTATTGAAAAAAAAATAATATATAACACCCAATAATTGTGGCTCGAATCTTCTCGCCTACAAAAGACTGCTGTTGATGGAACGGCACGGCGGACGCTTGCATCCATACGCCTAGATATCTACTAATAATAGCTGAAAAATAACACGTGCAAGACAAATATGTTTACTTTCTGACCTACATCCCCGAGCCTGCACGTGATCCATCGTTTTAAGCCGTTTCACTTGGATCGGATTTCTGCGCCTTCAGAGAAAGAGAGAGAGAGAGAGAGTACCTGAAACTCCGGCGAAGCGAAGAGCCTCCTCGACCATCCGTATCTGTGCGGTGCGGTGGCCGGACAGCGTAGTGGAAGAGTCGGCGTCGTAGAAGCCATGGTGCATATGTTCTCCCCATACAGTCTCCCAAAGCCCCGACGACTCATCGTAGAACTCCGCTATACCTTTCTTTATTCCTTCTTGGGCCGCCATCGGACGGAACGACAGCCGCCTCCGTCCCTCCACCGACACTCTCCGCCGTGAAAGCGGAGGCCTCCGGATCTTCAGAAAAGCTAGCTTGTATGAGTACAACCCACTGCTCATGGAATCGTTTCGGATACAAGGCAAAGAAGGCGGCGCGGTATGGCTGCGGGACCAGCTTGCTGCACCTATATTTTATTCGTTCGCCTTTTATGAGTCCCGCAAGCTCCGGTGGCCGCTATCACTCCCCTTAAATCGGTCTCAGATGAGATGGATAATTCCAAATTATGAATAAAATAAGAGTTCAATTTAATAATTATGAAATTAATTAATTAGTCTAATCAACACTGACAACTTCATAGCAAGTAGGTTTCTTCTCTTTTGGCAATTCGATGTCTACCTGATAATATTTATTATTGTAAGACAATAATGCGATGTCAGTTGTGGGGCCATACTAATTGAAAGGGTGAATATATTTCTAAATTTATTACTTCAGTTAGCCGACTAGCTTGTATTAATTAATTAAACGAATGTTATTTATTTATTTATTATTTCTTTGAAGGTGAGATTTGAGGCAAATGCCTCACTATCAAGCTATCATCCCTTCTTAATTAAGCAAACTTTTCTTGCCACTCTTTTTGCTTTCATTTTTTGTTTTATTTAATCGTATTTTAAAATATAATATATATATATATATATATATATAT